GACCAGTGTGGGTGTGGAAACATCTCATGATCTCCTCAGCCTTTCTTTCCTGTCCTCTCCCCCTGTCCATCTAGCTCATGGGCAGGACAAGGCTGGAACACTATACCTTTACAGACTTCTGAACTTCCTTCCCTTTTCCCCTTTCCCCAATTTCTGTCCCCCAGGACTTAAAGAGATCCTCTGAACAGCAGACCTGCCCTGTCCTTTGCCATCCTTGTGATTCTAGTCCTGTTATTACAGTCTCTGGGCCAGTCCATTTGATTGTGGATATTCCTCTCTTTCTCTGACCCTCTCCATTTCTAAGCATGATGTCTTTTTTCCAAGGACTGGTTGCTTCTAACAGCATGCCCAAAATATCTGAGCTGAAGTTTCATCATCCCTGTCTCTAAGGAACACCCTGGCTGTACCCTTTCCAAGACATATTTGTTTGTCCTTTTGGTAGTCTGTGTAACATTAAGTACTCTTTTACAACGCCGTAACTCAGAGGCATTGATTCTTCTGACATCCTTATTCATTGTCCAACTTTCAGATTCATAGGAAGGAATTGAAAAGACCATGACTTGAATCAGGCATGCCTTAGTCTTTAAACTGATATCCCTGCTCCTCAGCACCTTGGAGAGGTCCTTGATAGAGCCAGTTTCCCCAGTACAGTGTCTTTTGATTTCTTGGCTATTGTCAAGGTAGTTGATTGTGAATTCAAGTAAGATGTGATCACTAACCACTTTAATCTTCATTCCGTCTATCATAATATTGCCTGCTGGCTTGGTGGTGAGGATTTTTATTTTCTTAATGTTTATATATAACCCATATTGAAAGCTTGTAGTCTTTGATCTTCTTCAACAAGCATATCAAGTCATCTTCACTTTCAGCAGGCAAAGTTGTGTATTCTGCATAATGCAGGTTGCTGATGAGTCTTCCTCTGATTCTGATGCTACATTTTTCTTTATAAAGCCCAGCGTCTCAAATGATTTGTTGTTCATACCAACTGAATTAGGTATGGAGAAAAGAGACAGCCCTGATGCACACCTTTCTTGATTTTAAACCATGTAGTAGTCTCCTGCTCTCTTTAGACAATAGCCTCCCGGTCTAGGTTTTGCATAAGCACAACTAAGTGTTCTGGGCTCCCCCATATCCATCACCAAAATGTGTTTTTCCCCCCATTTTTTTTAAACTCCCTTGTGTTCATTTATGCATAAAAATAGTTGTTGTAGTGTAGCTCAGACTTAGCCAGGTGCCAGTGCTATTATAATAAAAAGTAAATAAAACAGAAAGTAATGAAGTAATTTAGGAGTTTGGAGTTTATCCTACAGTGAATAGGAGTCATTAAAGAAATTTGAGTTGGCAGTATTATGATCAGAACTATTCTTTGGGAAAATTATTCTTTGTATAAGATTGACTGAAAGGTAGACAGATTAACTGAAAAAAAAATGCCTTGGTAACTTCTTTTCGTATTTCTTTTTTTAATTAATGTACATTGTGTTTCATTCAAACACATTGTGTTCTGTACAATCTTTCTTTGCTTTTGTGTTTCATGTATGCACTGTCTGCCATATGATTAATTAGCATTGCTCAATGCCTGTTATGACACCATCTTTTCAAGTCCCAGTGCGTCGTTGCCACTAATCTGTCCTTCCACGTTTCCACTTTTTCTATCTTTTTTCCCCTTTTGGACATTTATACATGTCTTAATAGTTATCCTTCTATTTTTATAATATTGGAGAATGCCTCAATAAATTTTGTTTTTAAATGTTCTAGGCACAAAATGATAAGGACATGTCAAATCCAACAGTGGCAGTAGAAACAGAAGATTAATTAATAAACTAAGGTGGGATCCAGTCAGTCTTACAGAGTCCAGTCACTTCACCCAGTTTCCAAAATGGAGAAAAGGGGTTAGCCTTAAATGCAGGGGTCCTCCTGGAGATCTTATTGACAAGAGGCTTAAACAATGAAACAATCTACACAGACCCTCAACCAAAATAAGAGTGCCATCATACGGAGTCGAGCCAGTGGAAGTCCAAAATGGAAGAAAAGCACTTGGCAGTATATATTGTTGTTATTAAGTGCCATCCGGTACTGAACCCATTAAACAAAAGACTTTAACCTTGTTTTATAACTACTGTCCTTTCTCTAAGTTCAAAGAGTTTCCACAGGCATGTTTAGGAAGTGGATGCCACTCCTGCTTCCAAGCCAGTCTTCCTTAATCTGTTAGCTAACCAGATATTGTCCACCATGTGTAACCATTATCGCACTTGGCAGTTTGGTGGAACTCCCAGTTTTAAGAGAGGTTGGAAAGCAGGAGTGGCATCTACTTCCTAAACCACATGCCTCTGGAAACTCTATGAACTTGGAGAAATGATAGTTATAAAAAGACCTCAGGTCTCTTGTTCATGGAGTTGCTATGAGCCGTTCATGACTTGATGGTAGTCAACAACAACACCATGAAATATATCCCTAAATCAAGAAGCTCTTATGCAAACAGAGCAAGGGAATATATAATGGATTCAAAGGAAGGAAAATGTGCATTAACACTTTATCCTTTCCTCAAGTGTATTCAGTCTATATGCTGAACAAATCATTCAAGAAGTTAGACTATATGAAGAAACATGTGGCATCAGAATAGGAGGAGATTGGGGGAGCAGCGGAATGCTCATGGAGTTTGAACCTTACCTTGGTTCTTAAATTTGGGGGCCTATGGCCCTTGGGTCTGTTTTTAATTGTTTTTGGTCACACATTCTTATAATTGGCACAGCACTGGTCTGTGCATTGTTGTACAGAGGTAACTCTTGGTTGCTGTGAAGTTGAACACTGTGATACTGATGTGTCAAATGCGGTAACAGTTACCCATGATGGACAGTATTTGGTGGAACTCCCCAGTTGAAACAAGCTTGGAAGCAGGAGTGGCATCCACTTCCAAAATAGCTTGCCTCCAGAAACCCTGCAGACTTGGAGAAATGATGATAGTTATACACGTGTTCAGGTCTTTTATTCATAGGGTCTTTATGAGTCGTCTACGACTCGACAGCAATTAACAACAACAAGGTGGGATTACTCATAAATGAGAGACTTCCACATGAGAAGTATGTGGAGCTGAAGCCCAGTAGAGAAATGCAGGGCTCCTCCCCCTTGTGTGTGCACTCTCTCTTGGAGTGGGCTGCTGTTGTCGAGCCAGAACCCCAGTCTGTTAAATATTCCCTTTGTTAAATAGGGAGCGCTGGTGGCCTCGTGGTAAGAAGCTGTACTACAGTCCCAGAGGCACCCAGTTGGAGTCCACAAGCTGCTCTGTAGCAGAAGGATGAGAAATCTCCTCCTTTTCAATTTACTGCCTCTGATAACTCACTGGAGGATTCACAACAACTTGTTAAATATTCACTCTTTGTACCCCCTTTTCTCCCCCACCTCTAACACATAACTTGAATAAAATGAATGCTCACTCTTCTTTTGCTCTGTTTAACTTACTCTGATGTTATGGAAATCCTACACACACATACCCTCTAGTCCAGATACTGTCTCACTCACAAAACTTTTCTTGTTGTTTGTAGTAAGAAGGGATATGCCAGCTCGTAATCACTGGGAAACCCTGTGTACTTTCTAACCAGAAGATCTTGTTCTTAACAATATAGCCTTCAATTACAGAATTGAAGTTTAGAAAATAAAATGATACATTGCCATTGGTAATGCTTCAGATTGATGAATGTATAATCTGATGATTTTGGTTTTTTTTGAGAGGCGAGATATAATTGGAAGCAAGAGTGTCATCCACTTCCTAAACAACATGCCTCTGGAAACTATAAACTTTGAGAAATGATGATAGTTATAGAAAGGCTTCAAGCCTTTTGTTCATAGGGGGCCACGAGTTGTGCTTGACTTGATGACAATCAGTAGTAACAACAACAACAACATAATTCGGAGCTTTGGTACCCAGTGGTTGGGAGTTGCACTGCCAACCCAGAGGCACTCAGTTCATAACCGCAAGGTGCTTTGCAGGAGAAAAATGAACACTATCATCTCCTGGGCATTACAGCCTCTGAAAACCCACTAGAGGGCCAGCTGAGCATCAGACACCAGCAACATAGTTATTTAGATTAGCGTTCTTGTGTTTGTCTTCAGAGATAAGGACTAGCATATGGGAACCCATGTAATGCCTCTCCAGTCATTTACATAAAAAGAAAAAAGAAACAAAGCCATCAGCCAAACCCACAGGCCTCTCAAGTTGGTTCCAGTTTGCGGAATGACCCACAGCTGTATTTCTAAGACTAAAATCTCTATGAGAGGGGACCATTGTATCTTTCTCCCATAAAAAGACTGGTAGATTCCAGTCTCTCAGCAGTTAGCAGTCCAGCACATAACACACCGCATTTCCGGGGTGCCTTACATAAGAAGTTTCCAAACAGTCTTTTGTCAGATAATTGGCAACATGATAAATTTTTCCCTTCAAAACTATGCCTTATTTTAAAAAATGTTTTCATTTGATTTTAAGATCCATCACTCCTCAGATTTTGTGGCATTTCCAGGGTTAATGGTGGATGTCAAAAGTGCATGCTAATCTGCCATCTTCCCCTCTTCCCCCCCAGCTTTATGAAGTCCTGTGCAGTGCTCTGAAATTCTAGATGCTTAGAAAATGTCTACACTCAGATAAGAATTTTGCTTCAATTGGTATTTTCGTTTAAAATATTTATAGTTATGACAAATGAGGTTTGGGGTTTTAATCCCAGTAGTGCTTGCTAGTTTCTTCACTAATGTTCCTGTCTGCTAGCAGTTTATTATTGTAATGGATGCAGTGATAGAAGGCAGCCGTGGGTAGCAACCCGAGTAAAAGAAGAAAATGTCTTACAATGGAATAATACATTTACAGAAATTATGGCAATTTCTGCCAAGTTAGCCATTCGGCCTCCTTCTCTTTAAGGATTGGTGAAAAAAACAAGGCTCTTTGTATTTGTTAGAGGGGATAGATTTGACCAAGGATATGTGTATTTCAATTTCATATTTTGCTTTTATTACAGGATCCTCATGCAGAGGAATTTGAAGACAAAGAGTGGACATTTGTCATAGAAAATGTAAGCTAATGGCAAATTCCTTTCACATTTTTTTTATGTGTTATTAAAGGTGCTTTAGCATTTTGGCAGTAGGAGAAACATTACCTTGTGAAAATAAAAATGTGATAAATAACTGATTTTTTATTTTTCCTTAAGGAAATAGTAGCCGATATCAGAGTTACTGCCTTTTGTTATTATTATCTTTATAAATCCTGTCTTTATTTTCTTTGAGGAGTAGAAACATGATATAGAAACATACAGGTATATTTTAATACATACATATACGCATAAAAAAAGACATAAATCATAAAGATTCACTCTGATGATGGAGAATTGGCATTTTGCCAGTTAGTATACGTGAGAGAGAGACGCTGGATCATTTGTATTATGCCTGAGAATGAAGATAACGATTCTAGTCAGAAAATTAGTGGGTGACTGACTGTATGATCCTTTTTTTTATTCCTTATATATTCCATGGTAACATCGCACTGCCTCCTGATTCTGCCTGTCTGCTATAGCAAAGCACGCAACATTTAAGTCCATGATTTCAAGCAGCTGAAGCCTCTGATAGACAAAGCTGTGCAATCATAAATGTGGTTTGTCCTAACTCACATAGGTTTTAATTTTGGTGGTATCCATGCTTGAGGAGGTGCCCATGCACAGTCGAAGGGATTGAGAAATTGTGGTACATTCACATGATGGAACACTATGCAGCACTCACGAGCTATGATTTTGAAAATTACTGCATAACTTGGAAGGACTGGAGAGCATTATGCTTATTGAACTAATTCAGTCTCATAAGGACAAATACTGCATAAGACCATTATTGTAGAAATACAAAGGTAACTAGTAGAAGGTGTATGAGGATCCAAGGTGGAAAGGATGGGTGCAGAGGGGTGAGGATGGGCGGGGGGAAATCATAGGGTCGAATAATTTAGTAGGTGGAGGGAGAGGCAATCGAAATGGGAAGGATCTGGCAGGGATCTGGCAAGACAAGGTAATGATGGGCATAGTTCATTGGTGATTAGATTTATAAAACATAATAGGAATGATCATATGAAACCCAATGTGAATGAAGAATTGTGTGAAACACAATGTATACAAACTCTGTAAGCAAACCAATATAAAAGAAAATTTTTTAAAAAGCACAAAACTATAATTTATATATTATGAAATCTCAGGTGACTAAAAGGCATATAGGCATCTCTGGGTGGTACACATAGTTACTGCCACCTTTGGCTGCACATGTTTGAGTCCACTTAGGACTCAGAAGAAAAACTCTATGGATGTACAGTCATGCTCAAATCCATGCCAACTGGCTTGTGGTACCAGGCATATAGTAAGTGTTGAGTAAATGATGATTTGATGAGTATTACAGGAGGCAGGCAATTAAAGTATACTGATTGAGAATGTGGGCTTGAGTCAGAGAGATCTGATTCCAAGTCCTTCTCCTTACAAGCTCTTAGTCAATTGACTGTTTCCTAACTTCTCTAAGTGTCTGTTTTTTAAGCCTTGTGACTCTAGGATTGTGGTGAAAATCAAAAAGTTCTCAATGAATATTAGCTTTTATGGAAATTTTCTTCAACATCTTTATTGTACTCTGAAAGTGTGTTGTTGTTATAGACCCTCTAGTTGGAATCAGCTTACAACTGCAGACTCTCCAGCTAGTTTTCCAAGCCTATAAATTATGTGAGAGATTGCCCATCTTTCTCATAAGGAACACCTTGTGGATTCGAACTCTGTACCTTTGGGTAGACCACCAGCACACCCTCTAAAACTGTGTGTGTGGGACGCTTAAAATATGTATTGCCGACAAGGAATACATATTTTTAAAAAAAGTCATTGGAGGGAGAAGGAGGAAAATGTGCAACAACGAATGAATGAAAATTCAAATTTTCTGTAAATGTTCATTAAAATCACAATAAAAGAAAAAGATACAAAATACAAAAGAATGATTGTAAAAAACACAGTGTGATAGAGAAAATATAAAACCAAAAAACACCAACCAAAAAATATATATACATACGCATTGCGACATATTCTTCCTTTCGATTCCTATCTGACTTGTGTATTGCATTTCAGTGATAAAATTTGTCTTAAACTTCCCTCAGCAGTAGGTGGGCCATTTAAAAGCTTGCAGAAATGATAGCTAGTGAGTGATGTAAGGTTGCAAACAGGGTAGGGGAATTTGTAGGCTTGGTTTCACATGAACCATTTGAGATTTATTAAGGTTCACAGCAGTTTTGGCTTGTGTAGTGACAGGCTTGAGTATTATACTTCAGGTAGCAACTAAGGTTAGGGGGAAAGAAAATGAAAACAAACAAAACCTCACAAAAACCAGTAACTCTTCATGACATGGGTTACAACCTCAAAAGCTAGCCCAGTGGGGAGTCTTGATTTTCAGTACTCAGACCTATTATTCTGCATTTGAAGTCTCTGTTAATCTGATGGATTAAAGAATAAACCTGTCAAATTTGAATTCTAATAAATGACAAAGTATGTGAAAACGGTATTTCTTTAGAAAGTTGTTCTTGCTACATGATTAATCTTACCTGGAAAACATCGCCGCACAAATGATTGTATGAATTAGATTTTATGTCTGATCAGATGATTTTGGGAGACTTTCTCTGAATGATGCACTTGTGGGTGGAACACGGCTTATATGGAGAGTGTAGGCCATGGGTATGTTTTTTAATAGCAGAAGGATTTCCTGTTTACTTTTTTTCTCTGTCTCCTCAAATATGAATTTGGAAAAAAACCCTGGCATTTTCTTTCTTTCATTGCATAACTCATTGTTGATCACCATCACCAAGACTCTAGACAGCAGAATAAAATGCCTTCTGGTCTTGTGCACAGAGGTCTCTGTGGGTCAGACTGTTGGGCTCCATAGGGATTTTATGGATGATTTTCAGGAACAGATCACCAGGCCTTCCTTCGTAGTCTTCCTTCAGTCTGTAAACTTTGCCCAGGCGTGTTGAGTGTCATAGAACTATGCAGGCATCTACTGATGGAGGGCAGGGGCTGTTCATAAGGTGTGTTGACTGGGTGCTCCCTCCCCTCGCCAGAGGAAACAAAGACTTTAGGTTGGGGTACAGTTGAGTATAAATCATGGTGTTAGGTCTTCAAAACCAGACAACCTTGAATCTCTCTCAGGAATTTATTTTCTTTATCTGTGAAGCAAAGAGTGTTTATGGAATTATCTCCGATGACTTTTCTAGGTCTACAGCTTCAGTTTAGTTAGTAGGTTAATAAAATTCTAGAAAATTAATTTATAGATCAAAGATTTTAATTTTGAAATTTATAAATCTATTATTTAAAGGAATTATTGGGTGCTCCTTTTTAGAATCAATCAATACAAATTTTCTAATTTGTATATTTTAAAAATCCATATTAACATTTTTTTCTATGCATTTTCATTTCTGAAATAGATTATGAATACTTTTCATGAATACAGTTTCTTACTCTAGATTCTTTTTTTTTTTTACTCTGGATTCTTAAGACAACAGTTTCTTTCCTCTACTTTTTGCTTTTATAAGTTATTTGCAGTATTAGATGGGGCGGGGGGCACCAAGCCAGAAAGAAAATGAAATTGTAATGTAAACCAACTTTTTGTGTCAGGGAAGATACTACTTTCTGTAGCAGATGTGCTCTCGCAGCTATCAAAGAAAATATAGCCCATCTTTTATGGAAAGATCTGCTGTAGTTGTTGTTGTTATGTGCTGTCGAGTTGCTTGCGACTCATAGCGACCCTATGTACAACAGCCCTAAACTCTGCTCTGTCCTGTGCCAATTGCACCATCTCCGATACACCCATCCCAATTACCCCAGTCACTGAATTAATCCATCTCATAGAGGGCCTTCATCTCCTGCACTGTCCCTCCACCCTCCCAAGCATGATGTCCCTCTCCAAGGACCGATCCCTCCTTACAACATGTCCAAAGTATGTTAGACGAAGCCTCAGAATCCTTGCCTCCCAGGAGCCGCCGGGTTTGACCCTTCCCAGGATGAATCTGTTTGTTTTCCTAGCAGTCCGTGGTACCCTCAATACCCTTCTCCAGCACCACAGCTCAAAGGCATCAGTTCTCCTGCCCTGGATGTGCTCACCGAGTTGTGCCGAGAAATCTGGAGAACAACCACTTGGCCAACTGACTCGAAGAGATCTAGATTTGTTCCCATCCCAAAGAAGGGTGACCCGACAGAGTGTGGAAAGTATAGAACAATATCATTGATTTCACATGCAAGCAAGATTCTGCTTGAAGATTATCCAAAATGACTGGAACAACACATCAGCAGAGAGCTGCCAGAAGTCCAGGCTGGGTTTAGAAGGGGTCGTGGTACTAGGGATATTGTAGCTAATGTTAGATGGAATGTATCTCTGTGTTTCATTGACTATGCAAATGTGTTTGACTGTGTGGATCATAACAAACTGTGGCTGACTCTGAGAAGAATGGGAATCCCAGAACACTTGATTGTGCTAATGCGAAAACTATACTTGGACCAAGAGGTGGTTGTCAGAACAGAGCAAGGAAACACGGCATGGTTCAAAATTGGGAAGGGCGTACACCAGGGGTGTGTCCTGTCTCCATACCTTTTCAACCTGTATGCAGAACAGATTTTCCGGGAGGCTGAGCTCTATGAGGAGAAATGTGGGGTCAAGATTGGTGGAAGATCTATCAACAATCCCCAGATGACACAACCCTGCTTGCTGAAACTGAGGAGGACCTGAAGCGCTTGCTGCAGAGGGTCATGGACTGCAGCCTCCAATATGGATTGAGGCTCAATGTCAAGAAGACAAAGATTCTCACCACTGGGCCAATTGGCAGCATCAGGATGGATGGTGAAGAGATTGAGATTGTTCACAGCTTTAGTTTGCTTGGCTCCACAGTCAACACTCTCGGCAGCAGTAGCCAGGAAATGAAAAGACGTATTGCCATGGGAAAGTCTGCTGTTAGGGACCTCTCCAAAGTACTGAAGAGCAAAGGTGTCTCTCTGGAGACTAAGGTGCGTCTGATACAGGTCTT